GAAGAGTAGAAAGAGGTGCTTGAGAACTTGGTTTAAATCTCGCCTCTATGTTTTACTAGCTTTGTGACTTTGGGCAAATTATTTAGGCCCTCTGAGTCCTGGTTTCCCTTTCTGTAAAAAGGGGGAGGGGGAATAATAGGACCCTCCCAAGAGGTGAAAATGAAATGGCTTAACACTTAGAGGTATGTACAGTGCTTGAAACATGAGCACAACTGCACACAGGTTGGCATTATTGCTGGTGGTCACAGCTTAGTACTTGGTTCTGCAGAGCAGACACAGGAATCTAGGACTCAATTCCTGTCCTTAAGCAGAGGTAGTAAGGCATTAAAAGTAGGGCAAGTTGGGACCTCCCTGGTGGCGCAGCAGGTTAAAATGCAGCACTGCACGTTAGCTGTAGCTGCTTCAGTGCGAGTCCCATCCCCGGCCGGAGGTGACCCACATGCTACAGCAGACCTCTGCTGTCTCCTCTCGCCCGCTGTTGCCCTCAACCGTGTACTTCGTCAGTCTGCCTGTTCTGCTCCCCATTCTGTCTCTGGTGAATCCTCTCACCGCTCCTGTACTTCTGGCCTGCACCCCAGTTCTGTATGCATAAATAAATTTAAAAATCTCAAAAAAAAAAAAGTAGAGTCAGTTTGGAAGGAGCTAAAGAGAACTTCCATCAGTTATTTAATTCCATTGCACCTCAGTTTGCCCACCTGACATCTGAAGACAATTCCTAGAGTGAGAGATGGTAGGTTATAAACACCCTGCCGAGTGGCTGGGTCGTAGTTGGCCATCATTACACATGTCTGTCTTCCCCTGTCTGGGAATATACATCCTGGCGAGGGAGAGAGCAGTTCAGAAGCAGCTGGTCAAGGGTGGGGTATGTGCAGCGGAATCTAATTGGAGTTTGGAGACTGGAGGTTTCCTTCCCGTAGCTGGGCTGTTCTGGGAAGGCTTCCTTGGAGGTCCAACCTCAGTTGGGCTTGGAAGGATGAATAGATAAACTGAGCAGAAAGGATAAATGGGCTGACCAGTGACAGGAAGGGCAGTTAGGATTTGGGGTTGCAGTAAGAAGTCCCGCCATGTTTTTAGGGGTCTGCAGAGAAGATGCTGCTATTCTCTCCTCTTTCCCATATCCTTGTCTAATTGGAACTTTCCCTGCTATCTAAATTACACCCCACACGTCTTGTTGTAGTGGAAGATCACTTGTCTCTAAAAGCGAAGAGCAATAGTTATTTCAGACTAAATGAATTTTTCCTTTTTTAAAAAAGATTTATTTTTTTATTTATTTATGAATACAAGCAAGAACTGGGGTGTAGGCCAGAGGTGCAGGGCGTGTGTGTGTGTGTTTGTGTGTGTGTGTGTGTGAGAGAGAGAGAGAGAGAAAGACAGAGAGACAGAGAGAGAGAGAAAAAGAGAAAGAGAGAGGATTCACCAGAAACAGAGTATTTTTCTTTCAAACCTAGAATTAAAAAAAAAAAAATTAACTTTAAGTGTGGGGGAGTTCATCTTTGCTCTTTTATACATGAACATGTTCCACTTACCTTTTACCAACCCCCTCCTGTGCCACTCCCTAATCTACCTCTCTCCCCCACCGCACCTTTTCTCCCCTCTAATCCCTCTGGTAACCCTTATATTCTTTCACTAAGTTTAAGATTTATTCCTACTATATTTTGACTATATGGTTTTTCATTATTTATTCCCTAGATGAATGAGACCATCAGATTATCTGTCTTTCACTTTTGACTTATTTCATTTAACATAGCTGCCTTGAGTTCCTTTCGTTTTGTTTCAAAAGCCACTCTTTCATCTTTTTTTTCCCACAGCTGCATAATATTCCTTTGAGTATATATTCCAAAATTTCCTTATGCCGTCATCGGTTGAAGGGCACTTAGGTTGGTTCCTTGACTTGCATAAATGGATATTTTCACATTAGAATTCTCATATTATTTGAATAAATACCCACTCAAGGTATTGCCAGATCATATGGGATTTCCATTTTTATTTTCTTAATAAGTCTCTCATTACTTTGAACACTATAAGGTGACAGATGTTAATGAGACTTATTTTCATAATCATGTTGCAGTATTTATCTGCACCAAATTATTATGTTGTATACCTTAAACTAATAGTCTTATATCTGAAAATCAAAGATAAACAGTTTTCTAACCTGAACCATCATTCTCAATAATTCTGAAAGAAAAGAAACCCTCTTTTTCAAGATAGATCTTACTTCTGTTTAATATACTTATTTCAAAAGTACAAGTTTTATTCCTTCTGTGCTATAAACCCCTTCATATCACAATATATTTGCTTTCCCATAACACAATATACCTAATTTTTATAATTTTAAATATATTTTCTTTTTAATGAAAGAGTACAAATGTAGTGATTAGTTAGCTAAAGAAATATTCTTAGTGGGCCTTCCTGGTAGCACAGAGGTTAAAGACAGTGCTATCAAGCTATCACCAGCCACTGCAGCACAACTTCAGTCCCTTGGCTGGCCAGGGAGCTGACCCACATGGCTCAGCAGACCTCTCTCGTCTTGACTGCTGCTCCCCTCAGCAGTGTATTTCTGTAGTGTAGATCTGTCAGTTCTGTTTCCCACTCTGTCTCTGGTGAATGCTCTCACCCTCTACACCTCTGACTTACACCCCAGCTCTTGTATTCATAAATAAAATCTTACAAAAAGAAATATTCTCAGTGTCTATATTCATTACTGCACCAACCCTTGGTGTTTTGAAAACAGGAGTAAAGGACTTATAATATCAGACAGGGCATATGGCACACATTCACATTGACTCAAGAGTTCTTTAATTGAAAATATGTATTATTACCAACAAGCCACTGGTCAGCAGAGGTTTTTCTTTTAAAAATAGATCTCTAAATTATGTTCAGTAGATTGGTGCAGCCTTTCAGCAGAGAAATTTGGTAATAAGAACTGTATCAAAAGCCTTGAGTGTTTCATAACTTTAGATTTTGAAATCCCATTTCTAGAAGTTAATTCTTTTCTAGGAATAATCATGGGTATGCATACATATATTACCGTACAATATTTTAGAGTATTATTTCTAATAGGGAAGAAGTAGAAACAAATTTTTAACAATAGAGTTTGGCAAAATACACTGTGATATATTCATCCAATGGCAAAACATGTGGTTATTAAACATGGAGAATATTTAAGGACAGGGAAAAGTGATAACAGTATATATTTCATTGTTATTACCATTTTTTCAAAGAATTATTTTCACTTATGCATTCAAGAACTGTGGTATAGTGGGGAGCAGAACAGGCAGGCCTATGAAATAAATACACTGCCAGGGAGAGCAACAGGCAAAGCAATATAGGAGAGGTCTGCTTTGCCATATGGGTGAGCTCCCTGTCTGTGTATGGAACTTACGTTGCAGTAGTTGGCAATAGCTTGATAGTGCTGGGACTTAAACCCTTGCACCTCCATGGAGGCCCCAGAATATATTTTAGTGAATAAAACCAGTTTACAAAACAGTTTGTGATTATCTCATTAAAAAAAATGTGTTTGGGGCCTCCCTGGTTGCTCAAGGGTGTAAGTCTCGGCACTATAAAGCAATTGGCAGTCACTGCAGCACAAGTTCAATCCCCAACCATGGAATTAACCCACCTGGTGTGGCAGACCTCTCCTGTCTGGCCCTGTGTTCCCCTCAGCAGTGTATTTCAGTCAGTCCGCCTGTTCTGCTCCCCACTTGTCTCTGGTGAATCCTTTCAACCTGCCCTACTCCTCTGGCCTACACTCCAGCTCTAGTATGCATAAATAAATAAATCTTTAAAAGTGTGTTTATACATAGATCAATTTTAGAAAATAAACATTAATATTTAAAAGGGTTATCTCTAGATTGTGAAATTATAAGTATGTATTTTCGTTTTCTGGTGGGTTATCTGTATTTTCTAAATTTTCTACAATGGGAATGGATATATCCATGATACGAAAACTACAATAAAATTTACATAAAGAGAGTAATTGCTCAAGTAATTACTTGAGTCTTGTATACAAGACTCTAGTAATTCAGTTTGAGGGGCTTTCCCAGGGAAGGTGGGATCCCCAAGGCCTCTTTCCATGTGGAGCATTACTGAATGCCTGTGGTTATGTGAAATCCAGTTTGGGGAAGACTACAAAGTAGTCAAAGTTTGGGAAGTGGAAAAAATGGCTACTGGGAGATTTTATAAAGCCTGACCAAGAAACTTCTTCAGAGAGTATCTTGCTTCTTCGCCCACATTTTTCTCAAAAAGAAACTAAGGCTACTTAAGGGCTTGTCCAAGGCCACACAGCCAATTTAATGACAAGGTGAGGCCTTGAGTCCATGGCCTTTGTGCCCGGTTTTATTCTGTAAATAATGCTATTTAGACCAGCCCTTCCCATACTTTCATGCACAGAGATGTTAAAACTGCAGGTGTGATCCAGGAGATCAGGCGTGGAGAGCCTGCATTTCAACCGGATCTTGGGTGATGCCGATGTTAGCTGACCTGAGGAATCCGCTTAAATAACAGTGTAGAGCTTCGTGGACTCTGGAGCCTCTCAACATTCGCGTCATAGCTCTGCCAGCTGTCTGTTCTATACTGAGCTCCTCTTTCCGCATCCGCAACATAAGTAATCCTAACTCAGGATTTTCGTGAGCGTTTAATAAGTCATCGGAGGGTAAATGCCTAGAATAACGGAACAGCAGTTTTATTACTTGTATTCCCTAGAGTAAGCAGCGGTGAAGCAGGGCTCGACGAATGAATGAATAACCTTTGCAGAAAAGTTCTTTCCGGGCGTCTAGAGCCTGCGGAACGAGACGCGAGGGCTCTTTGGTGGGGAGGAGGCCCACCTCCAAGAAGGTTCTTTCCACCCGGGGGTCCGACGGGCCCAAAGCGCCCGGAAGCCGGGCCGCTGCGCCCCGCGGACCAATGTGGCCGCCGGGGAGTGGGGGAGGGGGTGGCGCCCGCCAGCCCTTTCCGTCTGCGCCGCTGATCGCCCCGCCCCTTAGACGTAACGACGTTGGAGCATTCCACGGTTGCTACATCGTCGCGAGGGGCGGGGCTGCTGTCAGGGCAGCGGTGAGCGCGCCGGCGCGGGCGGGCTGGGGCTCCGAGCGCTGCGCAGTGCCAGCGCCAGCACCAGATCGCGCGCTCCGGCCCTCTGCCTGCCTTGTGGCTCGCGCGTCCGCACTCTTGCCTGCCTGTGTGTTGCCCGAGTATGGAGCTGCTGTGTTGCGAGGGCACCCGGCACGCGCCCCGGGCCGGGCCAGACCCGCGGCTGCTGGGCGACCAGCGTGTCCTGCAGAGCTTGCTCCGCCTGGAGGAGCGCTATGTGCCCAGCGCCTCCTACTTCCAGTGTGTGCAGAGGGAGATCAAGCCGCACATGCGGAAGATGCTGGCGTACTGGATGCTGGAGGTACCGCCTGGACAGGGTCTCCCCTCCCCCGCCGCGCTGCGTCCTCAGCTCCGGACGTTCCGGGGCCGCCCCGTGGGGACATCCTGGTCCCAGAAACAATCAGCAGGATGCTTCGGTGGCCCAGACCCTGGGCCGGGCCTTTCACTCGCACCCTTGGCCAACAGCTTCCGTGGTGTCCGTTTCCCTTCCCCAGTCCTGACTGTGATTGCCAGTCGTTTGGCACCCCAGTTAATCCTCTCGGGTAGGGGAAGCAGGCCGGCGGCCACCTCGCCCCTCCTGCTTCGCTCAGCCTCTCCTGCTTCCCTCCCCCGCTCGGTCTTCTCGGGAGCGCACGCCTGGAAAACCCTGGGCTCTACCGCCTCCGCCCGAGAGCCGGTTCCTGTGTGTCGCGGGGTTCTGGCGGGGAAGGCAGTGGGGGTGGCGCGCGCGCTGTTCCGGCCATCAGGGAAATGAAAAGTGCGGGAGGCGGTGGCGGGAGTCTCCTCCCTTCCCTTTGGGTGTGTGCGATGGGTGATGGTAACGGGGGTAAGGTAATCAGCTTTCTGGCTACCTTGTTTGACTCTCCCGTGGCCCCCTCTGCTATGGGGGAGGGGAGTCTCAGTTTGGAATCCTTAAGGAAGGGAGGCTCTGCTGTCCCTCCCTCCCTCCCCCCGGGGGGGGGGAGGAGGCAACGCGGAGGAAGTGGGGGGCGTCACCTTGGGGAAGGCGCATCCTCTGTTTTAGTCCTTGTCTAAGTACACTTAGCCCTCTTCCACTTTTACTCCCGAACTCATCTCCCTTCAGACACTTACCCCCTTCAGTGCTGTAGCGTTTCCCACTCCCCTGCTCCAGAAGTGACTGTGCACCTTCCCCCAGGTGTGTGAGGAGCAGCGCTGTGAAGAGGAAGTCTTCCCCCTGGCCATGAACTACCTGGATCGCTACCTGTCCTGCGTCCCTACCCGCAAGGCCCAATTGCAGCTCCTGGGGTCGGTCTGCATGCTGCTGGCCTCCAAACTGCGAGAGACTAAGCCCCTGACTATCGAAAAACTGTGTATCTACACCGACTATGCTGTCACCCCCCACCAGATGCGGGTTTGTGCCTAATCCCTTTCCCTTCCTGCCCCCCACCCCACCACATACTGCCTCCTCACCGGGAAAAGGAAAGCTAAGACCGCAGAAGGTTTCTGTTCTCCGGAGAGGGAGCATGGCTTGCAGCGGCTTTTTGTGTGTGTGTGTAAGAAAGATGGGGCATGCATGTCCTGTGATGGTCTGGGTAGAGCTGCCAGCTTTAACTAAATCCCCTTCTCCTGACCTCCAGGGGGTGCCACTCCTTCCTGGTCTTTCCCCCAGATAGCAACAAGTCAAACTGCATGTCTACACTCACTAGTACTTTGCCTCTGGGTTTACACAGCCACCATGAGTTATTTATTGGCAGCAGCAGGACATGCCTGCACACCCCCACTGGAGTGGGGGAGTGGAATGTGCTTCATGTGGGGGAGGGGGCTCCCTTGGTTGAGTATCCCAGTGTGGACTTTGTGATAGAAAAGCCTCTGAGAGTGGTTTAAAGCCAGGCCCTGATTGCTCTAGAAGGGCCCAGGAGTTCCATCCCACCTTTTTTCCTTCCCTTTCTATCTCAGGAGAGACAGCCCTTCCTAATCCCTTATTCTCCCTGTCCTGCCTCTAAGGAACTCGAGCAGCTGCTTGGGGCCCCGGTGGAATCATCTCCTTTTCCCTCCTAGTTAAGGGCTGGAGTTGAGGTGCAGCCTGGTAGCCGAGCTGCAGCTGCTTCCGATGTGATAATAATGCCCCCTCCCAGCCTGCCCACTCTGACCAAGGTCTTTCATAACTCTGTGGGGAGCTGCTGTCACTCCTGTGGTTGGGAAGTGGCTCCTTGGGCCTCTCTTGCTGGGAATTTAGGCTGGGCTCTTCCCAAGGCCAGGCAGAAGTGTGGCCACTTCTCTTTCCTCGCTGAACCCGGTGAGGTGCCGCTGGGATGTGGAAAGGGTTACGCAGGGTATGCAGATTATCTCCTGAGGGGCTTGGAGAGGGTGGGTGAGCTGGCACCTTCCTCCACCTTGCATTACAGCCAAGTCTTCTCCTGACCCTGAGAGGAGTCTCTGGGCCCCATCTCCTGGGGAGGAGGGCAGCATGCAGGCTGCTGTGATTGGCTGGCAGGGAAGCCAGGGTACTGGGGCCCCCGACTGCTGCTTGTGGAGGAACAGGATTCCTCTTCCTGCCAAGTAGCTCTCAGAGATGGGAGCAGGAGGCCCCACAGTTCTTTGTGATGAGTCTGGTCGTTTTTTTGGCCAGTCTGAAGGTAGAGCTCATTTCTAGGGTTGAGGAGCAAGATGTTTTGGAGGGGTTTGGGCTGGAAGGTGGAAGGGACTTCCTTTTATGAATAGGTGGGATGGTGGATGTGCCTTTGTGTGAGGGGAACTTTTCAGAAACGGCAGCTCCCCCACTCCCTCTGCCTGTGCTGGGGGTGGAGCGTCTAGATGACTTCCTAGAAGGTCAGAGTTGGAAGGGACCTCAGAGGACTCCATTTAGTCCAAATCCTTGGCAGCAGAGAGGGCTGAGGCCCAGAGGACGCCAGGGTCCGACCTCAGCATTGCACTGGAAAGGATGAGGAGAGTCTGGGCCTTTCCACTCACCCAGGTGGCCTTAAAGGCGGGGCTATAACAGACACCGCCAGCCCCTGCAGCTATGGTTCCAGGGGCTGGCAGTGTCTAGCTTGTGCCAGGCTAGAACTCAGGTTCTTAGGGACTGTGCAGATGCAGGGTAGGGTAACTGCTTGCCTTCACCCAAGACCCCACGTCTCCCTACAGGGAGGCCCTCCCCTCCAAGCTGCCTTCTAGATGTTTCCTTGAAACCTCTGTGCTGTTTACTTGAGTTAGTGCTGTCACTGGGACAGGCTTTTGGGGCTAACTTCTGGCTGTAGGCAAGGCTATTCTTTTGTGGGGTTCTGTGAGGCTTGGGGCTGGGAGGATGACACCTAAGCTCAAGCCAGAAGAGAGGTGCTGTGGCTGGGGGCCAACAAAAGTTTGGGTGGGGTTGCTATTTCTGCTTCACTAAGGGATCAAACCACTAGTTCCTTCCCGAGATAAAACAATGAAGAAATCCTCATATGTGCAACTCAGAAATAGGGTCAGGGCTGGGAACCCCAGGGAAGTAGATTGGGGTGGGGTTCCCAACCTCCCTCCAGCACCTCGCAGGGTATATAGGCTCGAACTGGTAGAGAGAAGACTTGTTCCATCAGGAATCATCTGAACCTATCCGTCAGACCTGGCTCCCACTTTTCCTGAGAAAGACACTATGGGTTCTTAAAGGGAAAGGGGTGTGGTGTGGGGTGCTATACCTCAATACCCACCCGCAAAGTCCCACCAAAGGGATGTGGGTTGGGTTGGGCAACGTCCCCTTTGAGGAACCTTGGGGGAAGCTCAGGAGCTGTCACAGCAGGCCTGGCTTGCTCACTCCCCGTTCTTGAAGTTGCAGGCTTGGCTGGGATACAGAGTTAGGGAAGAGGCTTGTGATGACCTCTCCATACACAGATCCTTGGGATTTTGCTTCACTGCAGTGTCAAGTTCATGGTGATGCTGCTGCTGCGATCTTTTCTATGAGCCCTGGCTCAAGAAATGCTCAGGCCCCAGGGTGAAGAGTCAGGACAAGCCCTGATTTCTTAGCCCCAAAAAGATAACCAATTAGGATTTGGAGACAATCCATACACTGCCCTGGTCTCTCCACACTGCCAGTTCTTAAGCCAGAAGCAGAACTAGGGTCTTGACCTTCGAGATTGATAGACTTCCCTCCCTGTGAAACTTCTGCTTTGTTCTCTCCCCTTTCCTTCTTCATCCGCTGACCCCACCCTCTCCCCCACCCTCAGGACTGGGAGGTGCTGGTCCTGGGGAAACTCAAGTGGGACCTTGCCGCTGTGATTGCCCATGACTTCCTGGCCCTGATTCTTCACCGACTGTCTTTGCCCCGAGACCGACAGGCCTTGGTCAAAAAGCATGCCCAGACCTTTTTGGCCTTGTGTGCTACAGGTAAGAACCCTATGCACATTTTTGTTAAATCAAGAAAATGAGAATAACTGAGAGGTAACTAGGAGATTATGATTTATATTCCCCACAGACTCTGAGTGATATCCCCTCAGTTGCTGTACAGAAAACCAGCAGAACATTATTAAGAGTTCTTTGAGGCCTCAGAGACCCCCTGGGTGCTGGAGTGGACACTAAGAGCTTAGAAGGAAATGATTTGCCCAAGGTCATACAGCAAGTTGGCAGGATGCAGATCCTTGAACCTGTTTTGTTTCCACGCCAGTGAGGGACTGTAGTGTCTGGCCAGGGTAACTATGGACCACCTTAGACCTGACCTGTGGAAGTCTGCTGTTCACCCTGATCCTCTGTAGGGAAGAGGCCCCTGGCCCTATGTCACACCACCACTTATTGCTGGGTTTCCCAGTATGTCCCCTGCTTGTTCACACTGCCTGGCACCTTCTGAGGACTAGGAAGGCCATGCTGGTGGCTATCCTTAAATGCCCCCTGGTCTCACTGTTCCTCTCCCTTTCCAAGATTACACCTTTGCCATGTACCCGCCCTCCATGATCGCCACAGGCAGTATCGGGGCTGCCGTGCAAGGCCTCGGTGCCTGCGCCACATCCGGGGATGAGCTCACAGAGCTGCTTGCTGGGATCACCGGCACGGAAGTGGTGAGTGTTGGGATGCTGCGCAGCAGTATGTCTGTCATTCATGAGGCACTGTGATTCCCTGAACCTCCAGTAGAGGGAAGTGTCTATCCCCCAACCTTGTCCCCACTCTGGTTTCATGAGCAACCCCCAGACCCCACCCCCCCTTTCCGCCCCTGGTTTCTGCTGCCTTTTTCCTCTTGCCTTGTTATGGAAAAAAAGCGTTGGGTGGGTTGAAGGGCACTGTCCCTGGGTGCCCTTTCTTGCCAAGTGGTATGCCAGAGTGGGGGTGGGGAGGTTCAGTGTCAGATGCAGGGCTGCTCTCACACTCTCTCGCCACATCCTCTTGCCAGTTTTCTAAGAATTGAAGGCTGATTCCTGGGGCTGGGCTGTGGCCTAACCTCCCCAGACTTCCCTGTGTGCCGGGAGACGTCCTTCTCTGACACCTGTTGCCGATGATAGACAGAGGGGGAGGAAACAGCCTTTCATTCCAAAAGGGGCTCCCTCTGTTCCTCGGTAGCCCCCCCTCACCGTTCCCTGTATTCCCAGGACTGCCTGCGGGCCTGTCAGGAGCAGATTGAAGCTGCCCTCAGGGAGAGCCTCAGGGATGCTGCCCAAACCTCCGGAAGCCCAGCACCTAAAGCCCCCAGGGGCTCCAGCAGCCAGGGGCCCAGCCAGACCAGCACTCCCACAGATGTCACAGCTATCCACCTGTAGCACCGGGAGAGGCCCCCTCGAGTGGCCGCTGACAGCAGAGGAGGGGACACTGCCATCCCACTTCCTGCCTACAGGATGAACCACGCCACATCTGAAATCTGAGGGGGCTCCTTCCTACTTGCCTCTCACAAAGCCCAAGGGGTGGGTCCCACCTGTCCCTGCAGTGTGCACTAAAGGGCCTGGCTGGCATATCTGGGTGGCCCGTCAGGCTCCTCTTCCCTTGTATCTGCCAGCTCCGTTTCTTTCCATTGTAGCTGGCTGTGGGCCAGGCTGGTCTGAGACAAAATTCAACTAGGCAGAATATATGCACCAGCATTCCTTTTTGAGGCCCCTTGGATTCCGAGGCTCTCATGTTCTCAACTGTCAAAACGCCCCAGTGCCTTCTAAAGGTGTCGCACCTTCTAGAGTTACTGCATTTGGATAGGGGTCTTCCTGAAGGAATTTCAGATGTTCTGATAGACACGTGTGAGGGGAAACAGTCTAGACAGCTCCTCTTAACATACTTAGCAGGCCCTGCATTATCCTGCTCACAGCTATTCCTAGAAGGGGCCAGAACTAACCAATTCCTCCTTGCTTTGCTTTTGGCTCAGCTTCTGTGTGATTGAGGGAGGTAGTGCTGAAGGAAGAGGTTGTTTTAATTTATTGATTGTTATGAGTACAACTGTAAGAGGGTGTGGTGGGCCCCCTCTAACCCTGGTGGTAACCCTGGTGGTTGCTGCGTCTCTCCCCTCTGCTGCTGGCTAGAGTATCTTTGTGGCCAAGGAGCTGCTATAGCCTGGGGTGGGGTGATACCCTCCTCTCCCTCTTGCTCTCTGCCCCATCCTTTGGGGAAGAGAGGAAACAGGGCTGCTTTGGAGGTACCAGAGCTCCCTGTCAGGAGAGGGAGGCAAGCCCTATGGACACAGGTCTTTCCTAAGGCTACAAGGTCCAGGCTTGTAGCCCAGGACCTCTCTGCTACCTTAATAAAGATTCTGGAATGAAGTTGGCTTTGGCTTCTTGGATTGGTTAGCTTTGGGGGTAAAAGCCTATTTCTAGATTGCATAAGGTTGGGGAGGATGAACACCAATGGTCACCAAAGCCTTTCCAGTAAAGGGTTAGGAGCAGTATTTTAGGCTTTGTGGGCCTATGGTCTCTGCCCCAGAAACAGTTCTGCTTTATGTGATGTATTTGTTCCTAAAGAAATCACTGCATTTTGCAAAGTTGCACAATGCAAACCACAGGGCTAATGGGAAAAGGCAAGTTTGGGACCCAACACTCAAAACTTGGTGACTCTTTTTTTTTTTTTTAAAAGGGAATAAAGAGGATAGCAGTTTTCACACATTAAATTGTTAAAACACTCTTTAAGTACTATAAATGTCTTCTTATCTTGAAAAACACCTAAAGTTTGATTGTGGAAGGGAAGGCTGAAAGGATGTGGGAAATTATCATACCAGATACGGGTGTGGCTCCCGACCCTGGAGATGAACACAGTATGGGTGTGAGGGCTGTGCTGTGCCTTCTGTTAACTGCCTTAGGTTAGCCGGGTGTAGTATTCAGCTTCCACCCAGTGTTTCTCAAGGACAAAACTGCACATAAAGAAACAAACTTGTCCCCAAATGCAGTAAAAGGGTTGGGACAAAGGCACATGGAGCAAGTGTGTGACAGGGCTAGAACAGGCAGTAGCATGCCAATGGGTGGGTGCGGCTATGTTCACTTCGCTTATGGACACTGAAATTTGAATTTCATGTAATCTTTACCAGTCACCTCATATTTACAAATGCTAAAAAAGTCGTTCTTCACCCATGGGTTACGAGCAAAAGGACAACTGTTTTGCCAATCCTTGTAACACTGTCATTAGCCAAGACAGGGAAACCTGAAAGGGAGCTTATCTGCTGGTGACTGGACTCTTCTCTCTGGTCTTTCTAACTCCACTTTACTCTTAAGGCTTTTCTGTAGCTCTCCCATCGGCAGCTGAGAGGAGACTTATCTGGCTGCTGGCATTCTCGCAAAGCAAGCTGTCAGGGAAAGTGGAGAGTGTGCCCCCTATGGGCCAACAGGGTGGGTATACCCTGCTTAAGAGAGGGTCCTCAACACTGGTAAGAATCCAATTCTAGACAGAACAGGGACGAGTAATTCCCAACCCTATAGATCACATTGAAACGGAAATTCAAGAACACTTGCCAGTGTTTTTATCTATACCGCGGTAACTTGACACAGCAGCCCGAGACAAAGTACTTCCACCCCTGCTGGGGAGGAAGAGACGCTGTCAGGTCTCAGCACTGAGTGGGAACTCAGGCCTAGAATGAAAGCTGGAGCCAGGCAGACCCTCAGTCCTCTCTGCCAGGGACTGGGAAGTTTGCCCTGGCCTCTCACTGCGCTGACCTCGATCTTCAGCCCTCCAGCTGATCTGGATCTCAAGGCTCACTGTCCTCTGCAGTCACCAACAGGGGTCCTGATATCCCCCCCCACGGCCCTCAGGCCAGGATGAGGGACTGTTTTCCTCACTCCATGGCAACGGGAACATCTTCCACATCCCGGGGGACTGCGCTCTGTAGCTCACGCCGGATCTCGGGGGACACCTGTGGATGGGGCTGCAGGCGAAGCAGTTCCAGCAGGGCCTCCTTCTGCTCTGTGGCCAGGTCGGCCTTGTAACGCTGGGCCAGAGTCAGAAGGCACTGGTGCCACAGCACGGGAAGTTCACGCTTCTCTGTCCGGAAGCCCAGGAAATGGAAGACCAGAGCGTCCAGCACGCGGTAGGGCAGCGCGTATTTCTTATCCAGCAGCAGGCGCAGGAAGATGCTGTTGGCCCCGCTGTATTCCATCTCGGCAATTTTCAGCATGGCTGCGCTGGAGGGGGCGGGAGGTCACGTGGTGGTGGGGAAAATGTCAGAGCGAACACTACTTCTCTGCCTCTTCCACTGGGTGCTACACTTCAGGGGCTTTCTCAAGCCGCCTTCGCCCTCACTGATCTTATCAATACTCCCTGGAAGCCAGTTGCCACCTCCACACCACTCGCTGCTTCAGTGCTGAAATCCTGCATCCAGCTAGATTATGTGCAAAAGTCTCATAAGCTCCATCATACCTACTATCTTCCTATGTTCCCATGTCATTTAACTGTTACCTGAGCACCTTGCGTGTGGCTGGCACTGGAACCCTCTCCCCGTGGAACTAAGGTTCTTCTGGAGTGAGGACACACAGACTGGCTTAAACAAGCCACAAAACCTCGGGTTGTTCTAGCTCCTTCCGCACTCTGTCCTCCCAGCCCTCCACAACCCAATGCAGGAGATTTATAATCTGGGTATGCACCAACCGATCATCCTTCACCCCCACCAACTCTACCTGGAATGCAAAACCGGGATGGAACATTTGGTGATGATGCTTCCCACGATGATGGCTTCCCGGAGAGTACAGGTGCCTGACTCACACAGTGGGATCAGAATCCCTGGACAGGATGAGAGTTGCAGGATTTGAGCCCATGGTGAGGGAAAGGAGACACAGCAGGAAGCAATCACAACCCCCTCCATCCCTCCCCCTAGTCCCCACTTCAGAGCGCCACCTAAGTCAGACCTGCGGCTCAATCCGCCTTTTCTTAACTGCCTCCCGGGTTCCCACCTTTGAACCAGGCTCCCGGCTTGAACAGGGCCTTCTTGAGTGCCATGTAGAGGTGGAAGTTGAGTCGTTTGTATTCAGCTATGTCATCTCGTACCCGGGGGAGCAGGACGAGGTTGTAGAAGCGCTGGGCCATGCGCTCCTTCAGGTTAGAGGCGAAAATCCTATTTTGGGGATTGAGAGAAAGGGTGAAAAAAAGAAAATCACTTGATACTCTGGGGCTGGTTCTTTAAACACTGCTGCAGAGGTGCAAGCAAGTATTCTAAGGGATGTGAGAGGTGCACAACCCTCAAATCAGACCACACAGGGAGCAGAAAGAGCCACAAGAGATGCCCCAACAGGGTGAACACTCGTCCTCCAGAGCCGCCCAGCTCTTCACTTCCTCTGTGCACCAGGGCTCCTCTTTACCTAGCTGTCATGGGGGCTAGAGCATGCCTGGGGAGCCATAATTTCCTGAGGGTGATCCCAGGAGTTATAAGCCTCTCCCCTAGAAACTCATCACAGGTCTCAAAACATAACACAGGATAAGCTGAGAAAGTGATAGAAGCATAAAAGAGAAATCCAGGGCAAAGCAAAGACACTGACTGTCCATCTTGTGGCTGGGGCCTGACCCTCATCGAAGACCCAAAGCCACCCTCACCCCTCACCCCCAGTTTCTCTACCTCGTGGCTTGGTACATGGCGGCTGCAGTCCAGGTCTCCGGCTCCGTGACATAGAGGATTTGCTCCCAGTTGGAAAGTGCAGGGATGACCTTAAAGGCTTTAGGAAGCTTCCCGCTGCGGTATTTAGATAATACCTGCAGAGGAAGGGGCAAGAGCATCATCTTGTGCTTTGACATCTACTCAGTCCTCACACCAGTCCTCTGAGGAGTTTCCTCTTCATTTTTCAGATGGGAAAGCCAAGACCAGAGTTAAGTAACTAACCCCAGATCACCGTATCACTAAGTGGCAGAGCAAGAATAGGAACCTAAACATCCTCATGTTTGCTCTGCTGACAGGCCTTATTTGTGTGAGTCGTGGACAACCCAAGTCTCTTTCTTGTGCCATCATGGCCTTCCTCCTGGCTCTTACCTCCCGGACCCCTCTGTAAACCTCCAGGACCCGGGGGTCCAGCTGTGGCATAGGGAAGCCCGACACCTCTGACATGACTGTCTCGACCTCTGTCTGCTTCTCGGTCAGCTTCTCCATGATGATGTCAGCCAGGGTACGCCTGAAATTAGGAGAGGTGCAGAGGGAAAGGATGGGAGTGCTGTGGTCACAGGTGAGGAAGTTCTAGACTCTCCCTCCACATTGTCTCATGTGAACTTCATAACCTGTAATCTTGCTGGGATGTGCAGTCCCAGTATCCTTCTAGGCCCACCCACCCAGCACCAGAATTGGTGAGGGTACAGAGAAATGGGAGATTCCATTCGAATCTGGATTCTGGGCCCTCCCTGGTGGCGCAAGAGGTTGAAGCTATTGCAGCCACTGTAGCATGAGTTCAATCCCCAGCCAGGTGCAAGAGACCTCTCCTGTTTTGCCTGCTGTTCCTTCAACAGTGTATTTCAGTAGATCTGCCTATTCTGCTCCCCACTCTGTCTCTGGTGAATCCTCTCACCCCCACCCCCCGGCCTGTACCTGAGTTCTTGTATGCATAAATAAATAAATCTTAAAAAAAAAAAATCTGGACTCTGAGACCAGTCTGTGTGGGTTCAAATCTTGGCTCTTCTATTCCCTGCATGACCTTGGGTATGCTACTTGCTACAAATGAGTTTCCTTATCTGTAAGAGAGGGACAATAACAACCTAACTCCTAACGTAAGGTGAAATAAGTCAATGCATGTATATTACTTGTAATTAGTACAAAGCAAATGTGCAACATGTCCATACATGCTTCATACATGTCCATCAGATGCTGAGGGTACTCAAATTACAAGATCATAGATTAATTACCTCAATTATATACCAAGATTTCAAGTATCTGGGCTCTTCAGAGAGAAACTATAGCACAAACTTCCCCCCATTTTAAATTGCTGAAATCAAAACTTATGAAAATATTTCTACAACTATTACTTATATTCAGTATAATCTTTGGCCATGCCAAAGATTGTTATTATGTAGGCTTTGACAATAATGTCTGCAGAGGTGTGAAATATACCATAAGCCCTCATACCGTAAGTTAATGTTGTCAATAGGTTCTTGGAAATGACTTCACATGAACTAATATATAATGAAACCAGGTTCTCAACTTGTTTTTTTCTCACAACAGGATGAATGAAATGTTGTTGAATCAAACACATTACTCAAAGACTGTATTCAAGCCTTCCTGTTTTCTGAGGGCCTTTTCTGTCGGGGCATAGATTATGTGACTTTCCAGGTATCTCCTCAGAGGCAGCTGCACAATGCCTTCCTGAGTGCCAGTGTTCCCCTTATACAGACATGGGAGTGCACTCAGAGAGGCTAATAACCCAAGGCCTCACATTTTGTGGGGGCAAAGAGTCAATCCCTGTCTTACAGATTCTAAAATCCAGGTGCTTTAGGGTAGACTAGAATGTGACCCCAAACAAAATGGCCTCCAACTGCTACATTCATGTGGGCCTAGGCCTGTCTGTTAAAGATGCCAGCTGTAATTTTCTAACTGTACCTGTTTCCAGCCACTTTTCTATTTACTGCAAGTTGGAAAAATGATTCTGCCAAGTTTGTCAGAATTATCTGTTAAAAAGGGATGAAGAGATGGGAAACCTAGAGGACTGCAACTGAGATGGAAAAATGCACAAAATATGTAAAAATAAACTATTATAAAATTAAAAAAAAGGAATGATGAGGTGCTAAGTGAGTACTTGAGAGGCTCTCTGGGATAAGCACACACCTTGTGACACTTATTTCAGCTGCTCTGCATCAATCTGGGAAAGAGGGCTCATGTCTTCCTTTTGCATGCAGAAATAAGCTACTAACTTATTAGTTAGGTTTCCTGCCTCTTGACAGTATTATTAGCGATGAGAGAGCATTAACCCAAACAGCCTGAATTGTCATGGTGGTGACACTACAATTAGTAAGTGCTTTGAGGGGCCTTAGCCTAGATTCCCTGCCTCTAGGCTAAGGAGTTTGGCCACAGAGCTTAAGTGCTCACTGATGTTGGAGCTAACATTTACTATAGATTGGAATAAATCAGTGGTTCTTTTATTTTTTTAAAAGACTTATTCATGCATAAAGAACTGGAGCACAGGTCAGCAGTGCAGGGGTGGTGAGAAGATTCACCAGAGACAGAGTGGGGAGCAGAACAGGCCGACTAACGAAGTACACTGCTGAGGGGAGCAGCGGGCGGGTCAGGAGAGGTCTGCAGTGCCATGTGGGGCTAGGGATCGAACTTGCACTGAAGTGGCAGTGGCTAGCTTGCCCGTAGTGCCACCAGGAAGGGCTGTAATCAATTGGTGGTTCTAACTGGGGGATCAATTTTGCTCTTTTCCTGACATATGGCAATGTCTGGAGACATTTCTGGTTATCTGTCACATTTAAGGGTAGGTCTCTATTGGCATCCAGTGGGTAGAGGTCAGGGATACTGCTGAACAGCCTATAATCTACAGGATGGCCTCCACAAAGAACTACGCTGTCCAAACGCCAAGAGTCAAGTTTGAAACACCCTGGATTAAACACTTTTAGATAGGAAAGCAACTTGGACAAGAAAATTGAACTTTCCCCTGAGAAGACTGAGTCTAACAAGACCAAAAGCAATGGGATGGCTCTCCAGAGACAAAAGACCTGTTTCTGTTTCCCCCAGTCATCTGGGGACTTATAGAACACACAGACAGAAGGGGAGGAGATACTCTTGAGTTTGGGTCATTTTCAAGATGGTCCTCAAAGCCCATTGTCATGATGGGGAAACTACAATTTTTTTTTTTTTAAAGATTTCTTTATTTATGCAACAGAACTGGGGTACAGGCCAGAGGTGCAGGGGCAGTGAGAGGATTCACCAAAGACAGAATGGGGAGCAGAGCAGGTGGATAAACTGAAATACACTGCTGGGGGGAGCAGCACTCAGGTCGGGAGAGGTCTGCCACACCATGTGGTCAGCTCTCTGGCCAGGGATTGAACTCCTGCTGAAGCGACCGTAGCTAGCTTTGCAGTGCTGCCCTTTAACTTGTTGTGCCACTAGGGAGGGCCCAGTGACACTACAATTCGTAATGCTCGGCTCCTCCCCCACAGTAGGCACATCAGCATTGGTTTGAATAGGGCATAGGCTTTCCCGCTGGAAGCTGCTATCAGGACCTACAGTCTCAAACCCACACCATCCCAGCCATACCTGGCAGGAGGGTTCTTGTTCATGAACATCTCGATGGCACGCTCATCCTCAGGGTCCACGACCACCTCTGCATGCTGGACTGCCCCTGTCATGGTAGCGGCCTTCTCCAGGGTGGGCCATTCCTCGTCATCTGATCCATCCCGGGGGATTCCTGGACCTAGCAGAAGGGAGATGAAGTAGATGGGCAAAGCTAACAGTCGGTAGGGTATTTAGAGTCAATTTAACTCAAATCTGCATAGATGCTTGTATAGCTAC